TCTTTGACAAATGGCGAACAGCAACAAACAGTCAGTTGACGAAAATTGGTCTGTCAGTTGCTGAAGGTGGCATGCCAGTAGCCGGGATCCCAATAGGGACAGAAGAGGTACAGAGAAATTTCGTTTCCAAATTCGCCCGTGGTGACCCGGCGGAAGTGATACTCCACCTGGTAACGCTTGACGACCCTCAAGCCAGCTATCAACTGCTGCGTTTTTCTGGTGTGCCACGTTTGTTTCATCTGCTGAGGACGATTGCACCGTTTATCACCAACTCTGCCGCTAGAAAACATGACAACATGATGATGTGGGCAATGAGCAAGATCGTCCTTGGCAAGATGGCCGACAGCATGAGAATACCAACCGAGAAAGGAGTACGCGCAGACCCGACGAAGCGCGAGGAGGTAGATTTCTTCAAAGGGACAGCTCGGGCACAGGTGCACCTATCCATGCGTGAAAGAGGACTAGGAATCACGAGCAATGTTTTCATTCGAGAATCGGCTTTCGTGGCAGGGCAAGCGCTGGTGTTCTCCAAGTCAGTGCAAGCATCGACAGGACACACAGTTGATCAATGTCTACCCCGGCTTGCCCAGCTACCGACAGGACTGGCTCTGATTGACTCACTCAAGAAGCTAGAGGAGATCATCACCAAAGGCAAGCTTGAAAAAGCTGTTGGGTAGTAATGGACTAAACTTGCCACAAGTGATGAGTTACCCTCCGCCCTCAAAGGAGTTTACCTGTTGGAAGCAGGGACGGCGGGAAAACCCGGTGAAGATGGAAACCCTGACGCAGAACATCAACCGCCGTCTACCTACAACCGAAATGAATTTGGTCAACACTACCAAGTCTTTGGAGCCCAAGCTCTCCTTTCGAAACCTTTTCATGCAGCAGTGTATCACATGGTGGAAACAGACTTGCAGAAGGTAGCAGGCGAGGAAATGTCACAGAAGAGGGCATTGATCCGCTTGGAGGAAGCGAAAGGCAAGGGAGTTTTGTCGTGGTTGACAACGCAAGGGTTGTCAGCAGATGAAAGAATGCTGCCTGATCTATATCGAGAGTCAATCGGTCGTGTACTGGGGAGTCACGATCGAGCAGACTGCAACACAGGCAAACTTTGTGGTGCAGGTGCATTGTTACCATGCAAGGACCGCTTGAGCCGAGCCCACTCCCTCGTCTGCACCAAGACCGGCGCCTCAACCTTCCTCCAAAACAGGATGGTTCGCGTAGTCCTCAAGACACTGCGTGAGTGCCATATGCCCATCGCCGTTGAGGATTCTTCCCCTTTTACCACAGGCACTGGTAGGGGAAAGGGGCTATACAAGATGGATTTGGTAATCCCCCCAGGATTACACGCAGGAGAGAAGGAAGAGGAACTGTTAAAAGAGGACCCGATTCGCAGGGTATCCGTCGATAGACTTTCACCTGAATCGGTACACCTTCGCACATGGCGTCAGCGGCAGGATACTGGTGCGAATCTCCTTGGGTGCACACTTTTTCTCCTGGCTTGGACATTTTCCCATGGACATAATGTGTGTCAGTCCTGAGAACACCTCTTGGAGTCGATCCTACAAAGAACCTTGTGACACTTCCATCGAATCACCCATCCTGGCCACAAGAGGTTCCCAGTTGAGGGTAAATTCTGCGGGTGGAGAGTGTTAAGGAGGACCCGATTCGCGGGGTAGTATCCGTCGGTTGACTTTTACTTGAATCGGTACACCTTCGCAGAACTCTGCACCAAGTCCATCCTTATGGACGTAACAATCGTCAACCCATCCGCATGTCGAAGCATCGACAAGTCGATGCAAAAGCCAGGATCCGCCCTCGAAGATCAAGCTGCATAAGGCAAATCACTATGCGGGAACTTTCAAGCCGTCCGTCTAGATCTATCTACCCTCCTTACTGCTGCTTTTTCAACGAATGGTGGTCTCGGCAAAGGCACCAATCGACTCACCGTTGCTATCGCCAACCACTTGGCGCACGAAGCTTTTTGCCGGGGGAATGATGACGACGAAAGAGCCTTAGTTCGCCGTAAAGCTTTTCATTCTAACAGGATTCGAAGACGGTTTACCTCCGAGCTAACTCGTTTTCTGTCGATGCGAACTCGCGATGTGTTCAAACGTCATGGGCTACTGATCGACCAACTTCCACCAGGGCGGGCCGATCGGTTGGGATCTCTGCGACAACGATAGTAATGAGGGTAATTCTTTTGGGAGTGACGGAGACGAAGGAAAGGGAAAGGGAAGAAAGGAGGACGAAGACGACGATGGAGGAGGAAAACATGGAGGAGTGGAAGAGAGCAAAGAGTTTGAGCCAGATGACCTTCCCCAAAAGAAAACACATACGACTAGGTAGGGAAGAACTGCCCAGAGATTATTGTCAAAATGAGGATCAGAATGATGGTAGCGAAAACAAGGAGGATAATGGTGAAAGTACTCCTAAACGAAGTCGAGTACAAGGAAATAATAGCCTTGGTAGACGCGTGCAGTTTTCTTCTGCTGCTGCTGTTTCTTCTGTCTTTGATAGTTTAGCCTCCCCCACGCTGCCCCCTCACGGGGTCCCAGTTCATGGCAGATAGAAGTGTTTCGTGTTTTCAACCGCACTTAGACTGACGTCTTTTCATTGGTTAGCCGGTTAGCGCGGTCGATGCTAACAAACACACACACACACACACACACACCACGTGGCTTTAGCTTTTCAGCCTCCTCATCGTTCGATATCCGTGGGTGGGTGGAGGAGACTGCCGCATACATTTTCTTTTCCGGTATTAGTCTATAGACATTGGCAGTGAAATGGTGGGACACATGCATACAATGTTATCGTCGACGTTTCGTTCTTTTTTCTGCGGCGGTGTTGTTTGTTTTTACTCTATCTGTCCTCCGGCCCCGTCGCAAACTTCAAATAAATTCATTGTGCGTCTGTCTGTTGTCTGTCTGTCTTCGCTCGCCCTTCTTCGAACACATAAATGAGCATTCATACAACAACTTTTCACAACACTAAAAACTATTAGTATTAGACTTATTCGTTCCTCTCATTCATGTCAAAACTGAACCCGCACACACTTGCCATCGCCATGCAACCTACGAGCGTAGCGGCGACCGCGAAGCGCCTTGTATATATATACATGTATAACAGGGTTTTCGCACGATTGAGAGCGAAGTTTCCGATTGAGAGCGAAGTTTCCGATTGAGAGCGAGAACCAAAAAAAATCGAAATTCGGGTCCAGACGCCTCCCGTCATTTCTCGGGAAGCAGCGGACGGGCTCTTCCAAAAAGCGGCGCAAATTGAAGTTCTCTTCAGCAGCTTCGCGTGCATATGCGTGTCACTGCGATCGGCTGCAGCAGCGAGGAGCTACGCACGTTGCTAGATTTCCCCAGATTGGCTATTCCTGCCCAAAACTGTTTCAGGGCGCCGTCGCCTGGCGCGGTAGGCCCTCCCGTAGCTTCTGCTCCGCGGTGTAGCTCCACAACGCGAGACACCCGCAGGATGACCCGGGTATCGGCTTGTAGCTATGGGCAAGCCCTTCAATTCAAGCCGCACAGCAAGCTCTACCTCTCAGCAGTAGACAAGCTACATCGTATCGCACGATCTCGCTCTCAATCAGATACTTCGCTCTCAATCGTGCGAATGTGTTGTTGTATATATGTAAAAAGGGTGTTCGCCCGACACGAGATAAGGTGCCCCAAGCCTTATATACTGACATGTGGTGCCCACATACCCCCCCGGATACGAGCGTGCGGACAGCTCAGCATCGTAGACAAACACGCGGGTACCACGACGCACCCCCCGTAGCATGTACGGTAACCGGAACCNTGTATATATAAAAAAAGGGTGTTCGCCCGACACGAGATAAGGTGCCCCAAGCCTTATATACTGACATGTGGTGCCCACATACCCCCCCGGATACGAGCGTGCGGACAGCTCAGCATCGTAGACAAACACGCGGGTACCACGACGCACCCCCCGTAGCATGTACGGTAACCGGAACCCGACCGGCTGGCGGCGGACAGAGAAAACATTTTCACCTGCCCGGATCCGAACCCGGGTCTTTGACATTGCAGGGATAACATCCTGACGCTGACGCCACTGTAAAAAGGGTGTTTGTCCGACACGAGATAATAAGGTGCCCCAAGCCTTATATACTGACATTTGGTGCCCACATGTATATATGTATATATATGCGTTGCAAAGCTCGTTGTTAGTAAACCGTAATCGACTTCGTAAGTCGCGAGCGAAGGGATTGCTGTATACCCTTCTCGCGATAAAAATACCTCAGGCAGGAACCGCGGGAGGGGGTNTTTTTATCGCGAGAAGGGTACAGCAATCCCTTCCCTTGCGACTTATGAAGTCGATCAAGTTTACTAACAACGAGCTTTGCAGCGCGTCGTCGCTTCCAACGGAGACCTTGTATTTTTTTGTTTTTGCTCCCATCATTGGACTCTGTCGTCTGCCCCTCTGGCTCCTATCCTCCACTTCTACCAGCTAGACGACCCAACCGGGGTCACATAGGAGGGGGGGGTTGGACCCCCTCCTGCGGTTCCTGCCTGAGATATTTTCATCGCGAAAAGGGTACAGCAATCCCTTCCCTCGCGACTTATGAAGTCGGTCAAGTTTACTAACAACGAGCTTTCTTTGCAGCGCGTCGCTTCCAACGGAGACCTGTATGTATCTACATATATATATATATATATCTTCCTTGGTTGACAACTCCCCGTTGAACGTTCACACGAACGAGCTATGGCACCTACCAGTACGTATGCTTACCGTACGTAGTAGTACATACCCAGGGTCCGCTGCATGAAGGCAGTGTTTCTTCTATGCATACTGGAGGTTCCGACCATTTATGTTTGCTCAAGAATTCTGGATTATTTTTCTGCAGGCAACCAAAGTAAAACCCAAGACACATGAAACAAATTGAGAGCGCAGGTAAAATGCCGTCTTGCTCCCAACGCTATCTTATCGGACTAACCCGTTGCAAACTTCTCAAGATTGCCCTACTATCATTACTATTGTTTCGGCCTCTGGCCTAAACATATCTTACTCCATTAGGCATGTCCGATGACCTACTCCTCCGAACCGCTCCCAGGTCACTCCTCGGGTTCCGTAAGGGCCTGAGACACAAACTTTGCTCCTTCACCCCCCGCCCTAACATACACCATAAAAGCCGATGATTTCCACCTCCCGGCTCTCTGGATCTGAATCACCGACGCCCCCATACTTGCTAGATGCGTGGCCCCCCCGACCCTTCCTGAATGCAACGCATACTTCTGTGGGTCTCTACCCGCCGCACTCACGAGTAACCTGAGGTGTCTCGATGCCTCTGGCCTCGAAATCACCTTCCACCTGTCTTGTGCCCACGATTGCATCAACGGCGCATGACTCCCGAGCTCGGGGTGCAGATCTAACAGATCGAGTAACACCTTCAACGCTTCTTCCGATCTAGTGACGGCTGCTCCCAAACGTTTTCGATCTCCTCTTGACGCTCTGAACGTGACTTCCACTCGGCTGGCCTGCCTCCGGTCTGCCCATGCAACCCTTACCGGACCGCAAAAGAAACCCAGGTCTCCTCTTGTCAGACAAAAATCCGAGTGCACGAGCCCCGAGTCGTCCGCCCAGATTTCTGAGGCTCGGCACATCAGCAAGTACGAGAGGGCAAGTCCACACCAGATCAACTTCCCTGATTCTCCCGAATTTTCGACCACGCACTTTCCAGCCTCTAGCATGTCCCAAGAAAGTGGATTCCTAACCTTAGGCTTCGTCTGCGTATTGGCGTGGACCCTATCAATGGTCTTCAACATGGCAAGGATCTGGAAATGCGAAGTGGGCAACTCCCATCCTGCGTGCATCTTATGGAAGTACTTGACGGCTGAGAGATACCCGCGGATAGTCTGACTCTGGTTCTTGTGGCCGAAACACCGGCAAGCCATAAACACAGACAGCTCACGCACCGCACTTTCCACCCCATCGCTGTCGCGGAGCCACGGGCCCGAACCCGCCCCTGCTCGAGCCTCCTTCCACGTGTTCCACATCCTTCGATACACCTTGTTGGTACCACTTCCCAATGACCCGAAGGTGAGTGCGTTGACCAACCGCTCCCCCTCGACGCTCGTGCCTCCCCGGCCACCCTTTCTCTGTGTTCCTGATATTCAATCATCGGGTATGTACAGCGTGGGGAATGACACATTTCGAGGTTCCTTTCCAAGGTACGACAAGTTCATGCCGAAACCGTGGATAGCCCCGACTTGGGTTGAAGGGAGAACAGAAAAACTTGGTCGTCCAAACCAACTCTGCCTCCCCTGGCTATCCATTTTATCAAGGCGTCATGAAACAGTGAAATTGAGGCGTGTCCACCGCTCCAACTTCTCGCTATCTCATTTCGTTTGATGATTCGTTGATCGTCCGGAAAAACACGGAGCGGTGTCCATCCGCCCCTTCTGCCGTGTCAGATATTTTCTGATCCATGGACCATAATGTCCCATACCGAGTCGTCCAGACTTTCTTTCGGCAATTTCTTTTGAAGGATAAGGCTGAGCAACGCTCGTCCCCCTTCTCCAATATCCTGCTGTGTCCACCCTGAGTCTTTTGTGAGCATTTTCACGTTGGCGGCGATCTCGTTTTCTTCCCAGCGTGAGATCCCGTCCGCAAGTGTGTTCTTTCGACCAGGGATTTGCTTGGCCACGTGGCACCAGCCGCAAGAAATTTTCACCCTACCCATGAGTCTCATTATGAGGCTAGCGCACCTGTCACGCGATCCCCCACACCTGTTAGTCCAACTGACGGCCGACACGTTGTCTCCACGCATCAACACCGACTGCCCTTCTTCTACAGGTTCTGTCTTTCAAGATCATTTGGACTACCCACGCCGTCATGAACATGCCCGCGAGTTCTAACAGATTGATCGTAATGTCCGACGTCTCCTTCTCCTGCGCCTTGCGCTTGAGCTCCGCAGACAACGATGAGTCGATCGTGTATCTCCAGAAAATCTTTAGTTCGGGACAGTAGCCGCCAATCGCTGTGAAGCTAGCGTCTGAGAGGTAAAGGGGTGATGGTGCTCGTTTTACGTGTAGTAGGAACGATGCGCTGAGGGACTCCCCTCGAAGTGCCAGTGGCTGATTGAGGGCCCACTTCCAGAAGGCGATATCGCCGTGGAACTCTCTACCCAAGTCGACTAGTCGTCGTGACCGTGTGTGTCGACTGGCCTGCGTATGCAGACCCGATAGGCGGAGCAGTTGCCACACGAAGTACCTACCGGCCCTGATAACATAAGTGAGGTTCCACAGTTTTCCTGCAATGCTGAGGACTTCTTGAACACTGGCCTTCTTTCTATCGTGAGGCCAATCTGTCTCTAGTATGTTCCGAATCGCGCTTACCGTTTCCAGTGTAGTTGCAATTCTGCCAGCATGCGTATCTTTGATGTACCCCAGGGCCTCTATGACCGTGTGCCAGTCAGTGCTCTTTTTCGGGGCGAGAATGGGGGCTTCTCCGAGTTCTCCCTTGCCAAACAGTCTGACATGGTCTGACGCTAGTGAGGCGGACGCAATGAGTGCCGATTGGTCAGTGGGGTCATGCTGGACCTTCGTGAGCAAGAAATCGTCAACGTAGACCCTGGCCAAGAAATCGTCCGCGGGTCCCCCGCCTCTACGCGGTCTTAAGCCTGCCGACGATGGTATTGAGGTTGGGGTGCCTTTTTCCCAAGGAGGTTTTTTTTCACGTGGGACATCATTGCGATTCCTTCTGGTAGTAGTCGAGCGTTCGCGAGGGACGTGTTGCGGTGCGAGTGCTCTGCAGCGGAGGCTAACACACCCCACAATCCTGGTGACGCTACCCAGCCAAAGGTCAGCCGTAGATCCGCTACTAGCACGTCTCCTATCACGTAGCAAAAAGTTGTGTGCATGATCTGGTGATATCCTCACATTTCTGAACGCAGAGGTGACATCAGCCTTGGCTGCGAGGATTCTCTTGTCTGGCCATCTTACTCGTAGGCTAGTGAGCTCCTCGAGGAAAGCTGGTAGGGCTTCGCCGCACAGGCAACGTGGAACTCCGGACATAATGGTATCTTTGTTGAGCCCACCTTTTGACCCCTTGCTAGTGCTTGGGTCAAAAGAGAAGTCGTTGATGATCCTCACTTTTTTCCCTGGGACCGCTCCCAACGGGGCTACTCTGATCCCACGTACGTCCGACGCGTTCGCCTTTCTCAGGACGATACACCTGTATCGCTTGACATCGTCGCATAGTTTTTCCCACACTTGCGTTTGGTGTTCGTCTACGCTACGGTGGTTGCCGTATGCCAAGGCTTTCTTAAGGTTTTGCTGCGAGTCTAGAGTGGGGGCCGGGGCTCCTTCGCCGACTATCTCAATGAGGTCGTCGATACCCGGAAAGCCCTTCTCCTCTCCGAAATACTGCTTGACGTCGCTCACGTCCAACGGCGGTGACACCAAAGTGCCGCCGATTCCCCTCGCGACGTCTCCCAGCCTTCCATCGTGGAGCTTTCCAAATCACTACCAATGTCCGCCATCTTCCGAATGATGCATCGCTTCTCGTCTAGTGAGTGTGTGCTTGACGCGAGTCTGCTTCTCTGTTCCTCGAGTCTATCGGTCAGAGTTTTTGAATTTTCCGACAAGGTTGTATTTTTTGGACTCTCTAGGGCCGAAGGATCTTTCCCCGCCCCAAAGTGAGAAGTCGTTGAATTCGACCCGCAATCATGTCGCATTACTTCTGTGATGTCAGCGGCCCTAGCAGTGTCCGCCGCTAGTGCCCTACGTGCCAACAGTGCTTCCCCCGGGGTGTCCGCCCCCGGGAGAGCTTTTGACACGGTCATGGTGTCCGCCAATTCCGTATCGTACCCGCGAATGGTGTCCGCCAATCGGGGCTGTGTGACTGACAAATTCTTACGCAGGGTGTCCGCCCTGTGTATGACCTTCTGCACACTACTGGTGTCCGCCAGTATTTTTTGTTTACCGACAACGCTCGCGGCGTCCACCGCTTGCGTGCCACGGGGCCAATTACATCCGCCCGGGGTGTCCGCCCCCGAGGCGACTGCATTGCAATGTTCAGCACGTGTGGTGTCCGCCACAGTCTTCGTGGTGTACAAGGCAGAGCAGTAATTGATCCCGCTATTGGTGTCCGCTAATAGGTATTCCGTTACTGAGATTTTCGCGGGAACGGCGTCCACCGTTTGCGAGAGTGAGGGTAATGCATGTTCACACCGGGTGTCCGCCCGGTGTGTGTCAGTATTCGCACAATTGGTGTCCGCCAATAGTTTTGACTCATCTATCACCCGTGCGGTGTCCTCCGCTTGTGTGTTATTTGACCCGTACATGGCACCGAGGGTGTCCGCCCCCGTAGCTACTGTTTGTGACGTTTCGGCATGAGTGGTGTCCGCCACTATGCAAGGCGAAACCGAATCCGAACAGTTAACAGTGTGGGAAATGACAGGTTCGCAACTCATGCTCTCACCGTAAGACACAGCGGGTGCCACCGACCCGGGAAGGGGAACTCCCGCGCTCGCTACTGTCCTTCTGCTGTCCGCGAAGGCATTCGCTCCCGTGCCAAGCTCGCCACACCCCCTTGTCG